TGTTAGCTGATACTGGACCATTTGCATAATGTGCGTAGAAATGCGTAGAAGCTTCATTGGAGAAGAGAGAAGGGAAAAGCCAGATCCAAGGCTGTGAAATCTGATCTTTTGGGAGCAACAACAACCAGGAAACTCTTGAGGAATGTTATTAAAAAAAGGGAAAAACCGGGGGCAGGCGGGTTCAGTTTATTTCCCTTTCAAAACCACAAATGCAAAGAGACACACACAATATTTGACCCACTTTTTGAGCCTGTAGACTGAATATAACTATGTTGATGAGAATTAAATTGTACGGTTCTAAATGAAAAGCTATTAAGTGTCTTTATGTGTCCTCAATACCATTTTTTTAAACACAATTTCTCAATACTGTTTTACATTCAACAGCTTCTCTATTATTGTAGTGATCTTATGTTTTTAATATAAAGTAACTGAACTAAATATCAAATGATGTAGGTCGTTTTGACGCTTGATATCCAGCCCTGACGACATTGGAACAAGTGCTTAGCAGACTTGACACTCAATAAGCCTCCACTCAAATAAAATCTATAAATAAAGCTCTATTAATACCGCTTCATGTGTGAAATGTGCACGGCTGCTGCGGATCGCTGTTTATAGCCCTGCTCTTCACGTGTGGGTGGAGGGAGCGTGGGCGACTGGCATACATGAAATCTCCACAATATATGCTCTGTGTTCGAGTCTGGCTTTTTCAAATTATCCTGGGGGTTTAGCCTGGAGAGACGTCAAATCTCGCTACCTGACATGTGGTCCAACCTGTTGGAGAGTGACTAAATAAATTGGCTCTTGTTAATCCTCTTCATCTCATTAAATGTTACTGCACTGATTTACCGACTGTGACGCGCAGTTTGGTCAAAGAGACAAAGACGTCATGTGTTTTTGTTTACTGGCGGATGGCCTACTTTAGATCTTTACCAGGCACTGTAGTTTATCGAGAAAAGAGACTCTCTCTTGTGAAAAATATTGAAAATCTGATGGCAATCAATACTGTAGTTTTAGTAGTAATAGTAGTAGTTTTAGAATTGTCTTGAGCTGTATCAGAACAAATACAAGATCAAATAGATTAGTGTATGCCTATAAATAAAGAGTGTATTTTATTATCATCGTGGAATCTAGTATTGTCTGTTCCTTACTATCAAAATTAAGCTTGAAATTACAGTATCGTGACAAAACTCTCTTATGCTCTTGGTCCATCCTTACTTGGCACAAAAAGATGAATTCCCATGATATTTGGGAGTTCACTGACTTCAGAGAATCCATCTGGTCTGACTTTTGTGTCTGTGTTAGGGTGAAGCCAAAAGTAAAGCATTCAAACAAACCAAAACAAACATGGTGGTGATGATTAGAAATTATTTTTTGCTTAAACATGCAGATAAACGCTTTAATGGGTGGATGGGAAATGTTGCCTGTTCTCAATTTGTTCCACTTTTGATACTCTTCACCCAATCAGGTTGAAGAAATCATATGAACATCCTTTCTTTTCCCCATTTAACAGGAGCCTTCCCTGATTATGTGTAAAAAGTCTACATCTGTCTTGTCCTGCTGGCTCTACACTTCCACATTGGTCTCCAGTCTGAGCACTGCCTTCAGTAAAGAAAATAAAACTCAAAAATATACAAGTTGGGTAAATGTTTGCTTGGTTGTCACTGGCAGTGTTCCTCCTCACCCATAAACTTTTAGACTTAAGTGCAAAAATTCACTTTGCAAGTCTATGGGATTTCAACACTAACAGTAGCATCATGGAATTCAGCGTTATCAATGGAAAATGCCATGTGAAAGTTTGTCCATTGGTAAAAATAAACATTGGCGTATCGGCGATTGCTGAGTCATTGTAGCTGAATAGAACTTCAACTCTGGACAGGCCAAGTCAAACAGTAGCACAACCCAGAAGTTATGGACAATTTCCGTGTTTGAAATAAGTTTTAATCTGTTACTTTTGGAGGAGAAGTGGCTACTTATAAGTTACTGATTAGTTTGTTTTTATATAATGCCCATTTTTTATTTTTGTCCATGTCTGTAAGTAGAATTTCAGCCATCCTGTATTCGGTATTTTAAGTGAGTCAGGCAAAATTTGTGTTAAACTTCAGCCTAAACCCCCTTTGTAGGATACCAGTAGATTAAGTTATGCATTATTTTTGTGCTATTCATGAATCTTTATGTCAACTGACCAAAGAAAATAAAGTATTTTTCTGTCTCCTAATTGACTATCGCTGTGGTGACATTAAAGTGTATGGGGCAACTTTTCTGGTGGAGAGATCATCACTTGCTTGTCTTCACGGAGATGTTATTACTTCTTTTAGAATGTTCCAGGGTAGAGATTAAACTTATTTCTTAAGAGAGTCAACTATAGACTACATTACAGGTCAGATCTGTGGAGAGGCTACCTTATTCACAGAGAGAATTATTGAATTTTGAGCAATAGAAACACTCATAATGAATAAATGACATAGATGTGCTTAATGTCAGACCATCGAACATTTCAGGCAAAGCGATAACTTTTCCATCAAGACAAGCAGGTGACGGACCCTCCACCAGAAAAGTTGTGCAATACATCTTTAACTCTGTGCTGCTACATAGTCATTTCCCTGGCCCTGACGTGCACATGATCGCTGGTGTTAAAATTGTTGTTGAGGACACTGATCATTTGGTTACCTGTGGTTTTGCAGTGACCACATCGAGACTCGAGACACGCGTGCTGTGTGTGATTCACTATGGGATGGTGTAATGCCTGGTAGCCAAATTTGGACACGAATCGGAGCCGCAGCGTTGAAGAGGCCATTTCAGTCTCACCACAAGCAACCAGTGAATGAAGGGAGTTGTTTTACCGCCTCCCTTCCCCCTCTTCATACATGGAGTGCATACATCCACATATAGCCATCATTCATTTCAAAGTAAAGGTAGTTTCACCGGATATACAAACTATGTGTAAATCAAACTTCTGTAACTTTTGGTGTAGATTTCAGAATGGCACTTTGTATTATTACTTTATTTATTCCCATATCCATACCAATTATAATTTTTATTTAATCATAACATTTTGTGAAGAGATTTGGCGCTTGCAGAGTGAAAGATTTTGGATTTTTCTTTTGTACAAACAAGTTAAACAGAAATTGACAAATTAAACTTAAATTAAATTCTGAAGTTGTTTATTTTTTGACTTTCATTTGACCAATAATGCTGCTCTGCTTGTTAGGAAATATCTTTGTGTTTGAGTGTGTATAGTCCAGTTATGATTCCAAAATGCAGTTCTTTTTCTTCAAATTGTTGCAGACCTTTTTTATAATTAAACGTTTGTGAAAAAGGACACTCTCCCACAGAGAAGCTCCGATCAGCTGATTTTGGCCTTATCGTTTGTATCACTCAGATTGTCTAACCGTCTTGGCAGATCATACTCTCCTTCACAGCCCCGTTTCTGTCATCACATTAAATGCCTCTAGAAACCCGTCTCCTCCATTGGGACAGTCCAGTTTCACAGTTCTCCTCTCCTGGTCACGTAGGCCATGGAGCAGAGACACAAAGAAAGGGAGAAAAAGGAGGTCTGGACACGTGCAGCACATGTCAGCAGTCTGCGCAGTAATCCTCTGTGGCCATAGACATCAATGACCTCTGTGTGTAGTCACTGCCCAGTCCGCTCCTCTGCTCCACCACTGACCATAGAGACACAAGGGTGCAACTGACGCATGGGGAAATGACTGTATTAATATTTGGCTTGGTATTTGTGTCAAGTTAAAATTACTTTTCAAACTTTAGCTTTTCAAAATGTGTAATAATATGGTACGATCAAGCCTAACCTTAATGACTTGTGGACTAGTTCATCATTAAAGGTCCAGGGTTCCCCCACGGTCATGGAAAAAGTAATGGAATTTTGTAATTTCAATGAAGTCATGGAATTTTAGTATCGCGTTCTTGCAACTACAGCGTTCTGCCAAGTTATCATTAGGCTATTATGATTATTTCCGAATGTATGCGCCTTTCATTTGAAAGAGATGACAATAAATGCACTGACAGTATTCTGAATATTAATTAAAAAAAACTAATACCATAAGTTCAGTGGAAAGGGTTAATATTTCATATTTAGCTATAAAAGTATGCTTTCTACACATGTAGGGTGCCGTAAAGTCATGGAAAATTCACTTTAAGTCATGAAAAAGTTATGGAAAAGTTTTGAAATTTTGTCAGTGAAAAAGAGGGAACTCTGAAGGTCCTGTATTACACAAAATGGACTCTTGTAAGTTTTAAACCATATTAGAATGTTGTTGCTACCTCAAAAACATACTGAAGATATGTTTTTGTTTAATTCACACATGTTGTTTTATTTTATTATTAGTCTGTCTACACCTCCAAAGCTCAGAACACTCTGTTCCATCTTGTGATGTCATGTAGTGGTAGTTTTCAAGTTTTATCTTTAGTCCAGTACAGATTGGATGTCATTCTAGTGAAGGTGTACGCATTTATAAACACACTGGGCTACATCTTGTTTTACCATATGACATCACAAGGTGGAACAGAGTGCTTTTGAGAGAAAAACTCAGCCTAAATATGCAAGTTTATTGTGTTTAACATGTGTGAATGAAACAAAACAACTCCAGGTTTTGTGATGAGAAAACATTACAGTCTTGATCAGAAAGTAGCGTAATAGCCCTTTAAGCCATCCTCTTTTATTGTGCAATTACCCTACGTGCTCTTTTTCATTTCATTTCAAAAAGCACTGAAATAATTAAAGTATGAATGGTAATTATGAAAGCGGCTATGAGCCTTCCACTTTAGGAAGCAATTTTATCTGTTGCATTAACTCCTGAACTCTCTTGAGGCCAATGTTGTTTTTTTATTATTATTAAGTTACCAAGAAATCCTCTCATTACTTTTTCATTTAAACCTAATCTTGGGCGTTGTTTTGGATGCTAATTACGTCTCCAAATATGTTTTCCTCACATCTTAGGCAGCAGGACTTAAACTTTTTCCCCTTGTTAATGAAAGATGCGTGTTAAATAAAGGTGTTGATGATTCTGTTTTTGTTTTTGCAGGGGCATCTCTCTGAAGGTTTGGTCACAAAGTGGTACAGATCACCTCGCCTCCTTCTCTCTCCAAACAACTACACCAAAGCCATCGACATGTGGGCGGCTGGCTGCATATTCGCTGAAATGCTCACCGGAAAAACCCTCTTCGCAGGTACTAATTCGCATGAGTCATTCCGTGTTTATGCAAATGCGAAGTGAGGTTTGGAGATTATTATCTAAAGGTGTGTGCAGCTGTGGGTGCTTTGGCATATTCATTAATGAAGCGATGCGAAATCACTCAAATGTAAAAGATGTAACTGTTCACATCTAGGGTCTGTTACCTGCTTGTCCCCACGGAAATATTTGTTTGACTGGAATGCGCTTCATTGTGGAATTAAACATTTGCATCAAGATTTTTACTATAAACTATAAAAATACCTGCAATTTAATAAATGCATGATACAAGTTTAATGCCCTTCTTCTGAACGCAATAGCATTCCCAGGAGGACGAGCAGGTAGAAGACCCTCACCAGAAAGTTTCATGAGTCACATTTTTTGAATGAAATAATCGCTTAAAAGTTTTACATGAAGTATCTGATGGTTTATCTCTATAATTTAGCATCAGAAAAAATTCCTCATTAAAACTATCTCAACATTGGCTTTAAATTGCTTTCCTGCATTACATCTAGGCATTTCCACACAAGGTTCTTAATGTAAAAAGGATTCCTACTGTCTGAATTTGTAACACTCGAGGTCGTCACGCTCACACAACATGGTTTAGTCTCCATAGTTTAGTTTTTACCAATAGTACCTGCAGCCCTGTAGTGAAAGACGCCTCTGTGGCAGTTCTGACATTGACAGGCAGCACTGAATGTCCTCTCAGTGTAATTGTCAGGATGGGGAACAGGTTTTACTTTTGACCTGAAAATAGACTGACAATAATTGGCCCTCGAGTGTCACTTATCAACCACAGATAGTTTCAACTCATGAGTTGTTGCAGCTTGACAATATGGTTCTTCCTATAAAATTAGGGCACTTTCAATGTGAAGCTGTGCTTGGTTTTTTAGGGCAATGACACGAAACTGCTCAAAATAAATAAATAGACCAAGGACGATGGGACTGAAATGGACTGACTTCTGCGAACAAACCCATCGTTGCAATATTTGGTACTATCGCAACTAAACCAAAGTCTATAATCAGACGGGATGAACCAAAGTTTGGCATTTAAACTTACATGAGCCAGTTGAAACAAGTGAAAGCACCAGCCCAGTAAGAATGCATGTTTTTGTAGGATTTTTTTTAACCAATTAAAACGTGTAATTGAATAAATGCAATAGACAAGTTTAATGCCATACTTTTGAACATTCAATTTAAAGCAATATGACATTTTCATGGAGACAAGCAGATGGCTGACTCCTCTTTAAATGTTACATAATGCATCTTTAAGAGGGAGGTAGTGGATAGGATACACTATAATTTTTTTCTCATGGCTCTCCTCGACTCGACCTCGACCGTTTTTCCTCACTTTTTTCCCCAAATGCCTGGAGCTGAACACAGGCCAAAACACAGCAGCCTCGTGATTCAGCAGATCCACTGAAACTCAATTACAGAGTTGTGTAACTGCTCGCGGGAGGCACCTGACCGGACTTATGGTAATGCGACAAAGTTCAAATGTACTGTAAGCCTGTAGGGAGAGATACTGACTCATGTATTATCGTCATATTAAAGAAAATAATAAAGTTATCTCCTCCAGATTGCTTGCATTGAAACAGGAGCAAAGGATCATGGTCTTTGTTGTTCCTGGCCTATGTCCCTATGTCGATCCACTGCAACATTAGACAAACTATATATTAACAGTTTATATTGACACAGTAGCTCCTAATTACAAAAAAAAAATATATGAACACTGGAAATGCCAAGGATTTAATTAAAAGTGGAATACATTTTAACAATAAAACAAAATACATTAAATAAAAATACTCCAAAAGACCAAAGAAAAGAAAGAAACAAAAGAAAACAAATGCATTTTCCACCCAGTAGCTTAACACATTACCTCAACCAAGATACAGGCACATGATCACACATTCCTCGTGCATTATTAAAAAATAATTATTAAAATATCATCTAAATAATGCCAAAAAAATACATTAAATACTGTACTGTGAAACTTTTGGTATTTTTTGCTATAATTGCCAGCATTCTTAACTTTCCTCTATAATAATGTGTCTTTTGTTCTCTCTTTTCTAGGGGCCCATGAGCTGGAGCAGATGCAGCTGATCCTGGAGTCGATCCCGGTGCTGAGGGAGGAGGACCGTCAGGAGTTGCACAGTGTGATCCCTGTGTTCATCCGGAACGACATGTCCACGCCCCATAACCCTCTGAAGACTCTGCTGCCCGAAGTCAGCCCCCAAGGTCAGTACTGGCCCCTGAGATATTCACGTGTGCAAGAGGGTATATGCAAAAATGTATGGGGGGAAAATGTGTGAAAGCATATGTCCAAAATGTATTTCTATATTGTAGTTACTTGTACAAAACATTTGTTTTATCGGTTACAGTTATTCTGAATTCTTGAGTCATCTTTCAGTTCCTCTATTGTGAAAAATGCAAACCTAAACAGTCATAGGCTAATCTAATCTAAGAAACTTAATCATAACATAAAATGGCTTTGGGCAGAGTAGCATTGCATTAAAGCTATTAATACTTCCATGTGCAAGACCTGTACTTCCTGATTCATGAATATAAATTGAATTGGCATTGATCCCTCTCCTCTAGCACGTTATTATGAGTAATAAATAGCAGTTTGTCCTCAGGGACTAAAAGATTCAGTGAAAACATCTGAGAGTTCACATGGCTTCATCACAAATGGCGATAATCTCCAAAAAGGAAAAGGGAATTTGGGAGCAGTCACATGATCCGAGCTGCAGGAATCTCACAGCGTTCCTTCAAATCAGCCGTTTATGTTTACGCCCTCAGCTCAGGGCAAACATGAGTCTAGGTCACTCCCCTCATGTTAACACACTGTAGGCTGTCATTTTAACAGGGTCATATTGACATTTACATCAACTGTCTGCGGTTATGGAAATGAACAAAAGACGATTTTAAAACAACATTTGGCAAAGTGGAAAATCAACCAGTGACCTCAATTATCATCTTTTTTTTTTCTTTTTTTTAACATAAAACACTTTCTGATCATCTCCCATATCTCCTCTTTTTATCTACAGCGCTGGATTTCCTGGAGAAAATCTTGACCTTTAACCCCATGGACCGTCTGACCGCGGAGGAGGCTCTGGCCCACCCGTACATGTCTGACTACTCCTTCCCGCTGGACGAGCCCATCTCGCTGCACCCCTTCCACATCGAGGACGAGGTTGATGACATCCTGCTCATGGACCAGAGCCACAGCCACACATGGGACAGGTACGACTGCACTACTTTACCCACCATTCTACAGTGAGAACTCATAGGAGATACAGTTTTTATTCCATTTTGTTTGAGTTACATGAGTGCACGTGCTAATATCTTTCTCTTGTGGCAGGTATCATGATAGTCAGTTATCTGAGGCTGACTGGAACCTGCGTAGCACCCACGACCCTGAAGAGGTGCAGGTGGATCCCAGAGGGCTGTCTGATGTCACAGACGAGGAGGAGGTCCAGGTGAGACATGAACTTCATTTAAAGTGTTATGTTTGTTTACATTTTCACCTGATCGTACATGACACTGTGAATACATGTTGGTAACACGTACCTCTCTGTTCCAGGTGGACCCTCGTAAATACACTGACAGTGAGCGGGAGAAGTTCCTGGACGAGCCGTCCTTTGATTACTCCATGTTCTCAGCTGAACGCTCGTGGTCTGACGAACACCATGAGAACAAGTACTGTGACCTGCAGTGCAGCCACACCTGCAACTACAAGGCCGTGTCCCCCTCCTACCTGGACAACCTGGTGTGGAGGGACAGTGAGGTCAACCACTACTACGAACCCAAACTCATCATGGACCTATCCAACTGGAAGGAGCAGAGCAAAGAGAAGACCAAGTCCAAGACCAAGTGTGAGAAGAACGGTCTGGTGAAAATGGCTCTGCAGCAGCAGAGTGTCTCTGAGAAGGATCGTGAGCAGGAGAAGCACCAAGCCCCACAAAACCAGGGCTTTGACTTTGACTCATTCATCGCCAGCACCATCAAACTCAGCCTGCAGCCTGAGCCCTGTCCAGAGGTGGCGCTGCTGAGCCAGGTGGGTCTCCTGAATGAGCTGAACACCTCTGTGTCTCAGCTGGAGGCTCCTCGCTCCGGATCCATGTCCAAGTCCATCAGTCAGGAGAAGGAGGAGAAGTGCCTGGTGAACCTGGCCCAGCTCGGTGACGCCGTGTGGCCCGCCTTCGGCTGTGGTGAGCCGGTGGACCACAGGTCGGAGGGAGGCTACACCAGTTACCTGGACCAGCTGTTTGGGCGAAAGGAGGAGTGTCCCGCAGAGACTCTGGCCTGCTCTGACGCAGAGCTGCATGAGGAGGCCTTCCTGGGCTGTGGGACGGAGATCGTCCTGAACATGCAGCTGGACTCTCTGGCTGAAGACCTCCCCCTCAAGTCCATCCAGGCCTCTCTGTCCCCCTGCACCGTCAAGTGCTCGCCTCAAATCGCCCATAAAACCTACAGCAGCATCTTCAAACACCTGAATTAAGCAGAAGTCCTCCTCACAGTGCAACAGCTAGGCAATTTTATAAGAAATAGTATATAATTGTACTTGAATCATTTCATACCTTTTTTATTATGGTTCTTTTATTTTGCCTTTTACGAGAGGCGTGTTGTTTAGACCATCACTGAGCCTTGTACACCTCCATGTTTATGTCCACACCCTCATCGCTACAGCGCCATGTCGCTTGCACATTCAGTACTGTATCAGAGGAGGGAGAGAGCGCGAAGGAGACGAAGGACATTTGTGGACTCTTTTCGAGATGTCGTTGTGCAGTTTGGGTGGGACATAAAGGAGGAGGTGGTGCCAACAGTTATTAGGCTTTTAAACATCTTGGAACATCCTGCAAACTGGGGTCTTTTTTTATTAGTTTTTATCTTGATTTAACATTATTTCCCCAAAGAAGGCTTCCTTAAAACCCTTTCATACTGTAAATCTTTCACATGATGCCAGCAGCACCATTCTATCGTAGGCGTTAATGTAAAAATGTGTTATCTACCTCAAGGTAACAGCCGTGCGAGACACTCTAGAGCCAAACTAGTGCTTTACGACCATCCTCATACCATGAAATGAAGAGGTCTCGTCAATGAAATCTGTCAAGCATTTAACATAGTGAGGTGTTTCAAGAATCATTATTTATTTCTAGCAAGATTTGCGATATTTATTTTATCAAAAGGTGTTATTTCAATGTGGTTATTGAAGATCTGAGAGGCGTTCGCGGAGAAAGACTTCCATGTTCATTTCGGCACTATATAGGCGTGGTAGTGTTTTGTTTTTATGCTAGGAAACAACTTGATCTATGTTCGAAAAAAAAGTTCAAATGGCTTTTTATTTCATTTTCCATCGATATTGTCCAAACGGATATCATTCTTTGTTAATTTTTTATTTTATATTTTAAGGTGCGTTCTGTCTTTTGTGGAAAACCTGCTTTATCGTTAAAAAAGAAGGCGCCTAAAGTCTTAATTTTTTTATCTAAATGTTCTGTACAAACGTGTGCATGGAGGCAACAGAAAGGTACATTCAAAGTCAATGGTGAGTATAAAACGTGCATCAGTTTTAATTGTATGTTTTTTGTTTTTTATGTCCTTTTCGAAGAGCAAAGCATGATGAATTAGGTTAAAGGTGTAGCATGTAGAACACTGCAGACTTCTTTTGTAATCATTGGTTACCCTGTTCTACAAAATATCAAAATAAAATTACTGGCAAAGAGTCTGGTCTCTGTGGTCTTTTATTTCCTCATAATTAATGGAATTTGACATGCTTGTACAACGCTGTTAGACTAGATAACAATGGAACAGAATGTAAGGGGGATGTTAAAAGTATCAAAAATCAGATGCTAATAGATATGAATTTTTTGCAGGTGTCAAAACCAAAAAAAAAAATCCATTGATAGGACAAAAATGAACCTTTCCTGAATAGCTTTAGAACAGACTTGGGGTATTGTACAGCTCCCAGGCCACATACAGCGCTTTGGTTGACTGACCGTCCCATTTAAGATCATTTGGAATTTCAAAATAAGCATATTTTATCATTTTCCTCATGCATGGACTAAAGCTGTGTTACTATTATTTTAGAGGTGTTTCTTTAAATGACATTTTTTGTAAGGCAGCCTCACTTTTTCATTGCTTAGTCATAACATAAACTCTTACCAACTCATCAAAACAATGATATTTATTTGGGATGTAATAATAACAGAAATACCGTGATATTGTATCGTCAAAAGTTTCACAATAATATCGTGGGGCATCACAATATGTTGAATTACAAGTTCCTTTGCTTAAATGTATGGTTTTATAGTAGCAATAATTAATAAACATCAGGAACTACATATCCCATGATTAATTTCAGCGCAAACAACATGAAGTAATATGTTTGTTACTTGAATTCTTGGGATTATGATGGTAATAATTCACACCATAATCTTGTCAGGGTATTTTAAAGTCAAAAAAGCGTCCTATGTACAATTATATCAGCCTCTCCAAAATTTCGCAATAATTATTGTACCGTGAGATGCACATCGTGATAATATCGTAACGAGAGATTTGGATATTGTTACATCCCAGCTATTTACTGCTTGTTATAAAGAAATACAATTAATATACTGCAGAATTGAGTTAAGCATTTTGGCCCGGCCCTCCACAATATTTTCTGTGGACATCTTTTTGTCTAAATACAGGTACAGAATAAAATGCTGGTACCTGTCAGGTGGAATAATAGAAATGTTGCATTGTCTGGAAATGTCGACAGTATGGCATTAAACTCGTCCATCTATCATTATTTCAATTACAGGTGTTTTTATTTGAACTTAAATGCACTGAAAACATGCATTCTGACTGTAAGCTGTTTCTGTAGCGATAAGTGTAATGTCATACTGTGGAGCATTCTAGAACAAGTGATAATGTCTTCATGGAGACAAGCAGCTGGCAGACCTTCCAGAAAAGTTACATATTTCATCTTTAATATACACTACCGGTCAAAAGTTTTAGAAGAGTTTAGTTTTTTACCATTTACTGTTGACTAAAACATATTCTAAACTTTTAATTCATGAAAGTGTCCACCTTTGGCAGATATAACAGCTAAACACACACATGGCTCATTCTTTTTACAACAGAAATCAAATATTCTACAGAAGGTTCTTCCCAAGTCTGTTGCAGAAGTTCCCATAAACGTGTGGAACTTGTAGGATGTTTGACTTTCACTCTTCTGTCCAGTTCATCCCAAAACCAGCTCGATGGGGTTTAAGCCTGGAGACTGTGCTGGACAGTCCATGTTTTCAAGTTTTACCATCTTGTTTGTTTTTTTCCTGAGGTAATTTTGGCAGAGCTTGGACTTGTGTTTTGTTCTTTTTTTTAACCTCTGGCTGTTCAGTACTTACATTTGTACCATTTCAAACCCTTCACTGGACTTGCACAACTTGAATTGCAATAAATAACTGGAAAAATGATGGTGTTCTGAAAACCTTTTGACCGGCAGTGTACATTGTGGCTTGTTAGTTAAGATACAATAAATTGAAGACAGAAACAAAATGATGCTGGAGGAAGAGAGAAACATTTTAAGTTCTAATCTGTTGTTTCAGATGTCTCATAATGGTTCAAAATATGTTTTTTTTTTTATCTCTGAAATGTGGTGTATACTTGGATGACACCTGGCTCATCTCGATTGGGCTTTGTGCGTCTGTAGCTACTTAAAGACTCCATAATTGGGCTATTATAACCAGTTAGTATCTAGGTCAGACCACTTACGGTATACTTAACTTGTTTTGATGTCAAAAACTGAACTGCTCAGCGTGTGAGGCAGGTCGCCACAAAAACAACCCCTCCATCACCATAAGCAGCTATAGGCCTACTGTATTTGTTTTCATGTCTACATATCTGAGAAGTGGACACAGTTTGGTCAGGTCTATGGAATTTAAAATCAAAATCAACAAAATATTACACATTTTTAAGCACGTGCCATAACAACATGCGCTATATTCATGGGTTTCCGATCCACCGGTGATTAAAAACAACTGGAGTAATTTAGAGTCTTCTGAGAATGAAATCAGATCTGCCCCGGGCCAGCGCTGAATCTAGGGCAAATACTGAGTGAGGTACGAACTGATATCATGTGTTATTCTTTATGTGTCTGATGAACGTGAGCACGTGTGTCCTATGTGCCCGCGTGCATAGTGAACCCTCTTACCCTTCTCTCTGCAGACCCTATAGAGACTGCTGGATCATTTGGAAATCTAAAAACACGTGCAGTCCAGATGTAACCTACTTTTGGGATAAAGCGTAGACTATTATTTCATAAAGACCTTTTTTTTTTTCATTTTCGAGTAAATGTTCTTTTATTTATTCAAGCCTTAGTCAGGGGAAGGGTTCAGCAAATAGTTTCACTTAATTTAAAGACACAATACATTTTCTGTCGCTGGTATTCATAGAGATGTTATTGGTTGGAGACAAGGAGGTGAATCCATCAGGCAAAGTTACAGGTCAGGTGTGTGGAGGTGGTGCCACTCACTAGACCACTAGAACATTATGCATTACACAAAATTGACATTGGTGAGCTTTAAGTCATGTTGTAATGTTGTAACCTTCACAGAAACAGACCTGGGGTTGTGTTTTGTTTCATTCATGTTTGAGTAATCCTTTTTTATTAGTCTGTCTACATCTCCAAAGCTCAAAATGCTCTGTTCTACCTTGTGATGTCATGTAGTGGTAGTTTCAAGTTAACAGCTACCTTTTACCTTTAGGTCAGTAAAGACAATTTCAGGGCTGATATATGAAAGTTATTTCTGCTTTTATGTATTAATTGTATTATTTTTGTTTCATTGATTTTATTATTATTATTATTTTATTCTATTCTATCTATTCTATTAGTTTCTTCATGGCTGGAAGATAATTCTGCAGATTTTTTACTTTTTTAAGTAAAATGTTTTATTCCTTTATTATCACGTGGCATCATCACAAGGCGGAACAGAGTGGTTTGAAAGAAGAACTCAGTCTAAATCTGCACGTTTGTGTGTTAAACGTGTGTGAACATGTGTGAATGAATCAAAACACAAATCCAGGTATGTCTGTAATGAGGAAAAACATTATAACATAGATCAGAAAATAGCGTAATATGGGATCTTTAAGCTATAACTACATTTATTCCACGAAATTACAGAGCTCTTGCGACATATGCGCTGCCCTGAATGTTTTTACTGTGCTAATATTTACACTGGGGCTATTTATGGGGTTACTGGATTGACTTTTGTATTGTGCTTTGCACATCAAAACAAAGCAGTGTTTGAAGCTCTAAACCTAATTTCGCTGTTTTCTGTGACAATAACCATAACAATCCTGAGTTGAATTGAAATTTGCACATGTATTTTCTATGTATGTGGGCAGTGAAATTGTCTGAACAGTGACTCCCTTCCTCTCGACTATCTGTCTCTCATCTGTCTCTCTTTCGTCTCTCTTTCTTCCGCCGTCCCTCTCTCATGTTCCAGCCTTCAGGTGTCATCAGGTTTGAAATATACCACCCCCTCTCTCCTCTTCCTCTCCTATACCATCTCCTCCCCTTTTCCATTTCCTCTCTCTATCTCTGTCTCACACACACATATACACACTCTCTCTCTCTCTCTCTTTCCACTCTTTCCCACACTTTCTTTTCTACCCCCTCTCTATTCCGGCCTTCAGGTGTCGTCGGGTTAAAAATACCACCCCACCCTCCCCCTCTTTTCCCCTTTCCCCTCGCTCCACCTCTCTTCCTCTATCCTCCTCTCTTCCCTTCCTCTCCCCCTCCTCTCTCCCTCCCCCTTCCCTTTCTCCTCTCTCACCCCTCTCTCTCCGTCTCTCCTCTCGTTCCCTGTCCCCCTGCTTCCTCCCTTCCCTCTCCCCTCTCCACCTCTCTCCCTCTCCCCTCTCTCCTCTCTCCCCTTCCCTCCCTTTCTCTACCTCTCTCTTCCCTCTCCCTTTTTTCTTGCTCTCCTCTCTCTCTCCCTCCCTTTCTCCCCTCTCCCCTTTCTCTCTCTTTCTCTCTCTCTCCCTCTCACCCTCTCTCCCCTTCCCTCCCTTTCTCTCCCTCTCTCCTCCCTCTCCCTTTTTCCTTGCTCCTCTCTCTCTCTCTCTCTGTCTCTCCTCTCTCTCCCCCTCACTTTCTCCCCCTGTCGCCCCTGGTTCTTCCCTTCCCCACCTCTCCCTCTTCCCTCTCTCTCATCTCTCCATCTATCCTCTCTCTCCCTTTCTCCTCTCCACCTCGCTCCCTCTAATCTTCCTCTTCTTTCTCTCTCTCCCTCCCTCTTCTTTCTCCTCCTCTTCCCTATCTCCCTTTTCTCCCTCTCTTTCCTCATTCTCCCCCTCCCTCTCCAGAATCTTTCTCTCTTTGCTCATGTTTGGAGTTGAACATCACATTCAAACACATTCAGTGGTGTTATGTTCTTCCACAGCACTAACAAATGAGCTTCTTCTGTCCATAATAAATAAACGAGCTTCTTCTGTCCATATTACATTTCCTGTAATACGCCTCACGTCTATTGATGCTTCACTCTGACCTCACACAGGGGCTGTTTCCATGGAGACACAAGGCACATATTTGCAACATTTGTTTTAAAGTAGCCTGAAAACCCCCACTCAAAAAAAAATAAATTAATTTGTGGTCCTGTTTAAGTTTATTTTCAGCTAAATGGTGAGTGGGACTAACTGAAAAAACGTTGCCTAATGCTCGATAACTTGTGACTCATTT